GCCCGCCCCCCACCCGTCCCCCCTTCCCTCTTCCACCTCCGCCTTCTCTCTGCAGCTGCGCCGTCTCCCGCAGCAGGGACTTGGGACAGGGCCAGGCAGGGCCGGGCCAGGGCCAGGCAGTAAGGCCATGGGCACAGCGGACGACAGGGAGCGCCTGGGCCGCCCCACCCCACCCCGTCCGCCCATGCTGCCCCCAGCGCTCACGGCGCCTCTCTTCTGCTCTCTCCCGCTCGCCGCTGCCTGGCACAGTCTCACCCAAGAACTTTAAGGTGAAGATGATCATGAAGACGTCGGTCCTGCTCAGCTGGGAGTTCCCCGACAACTACAACTCCCCGACGCCCTACAAGGTGCGGCCTCCCACTGAGTCAGGGGCGGGCTCAGCCGGGGTCAGGGCTTAGGCTGGAGTCTGGGCCTCGTCCGGGGGCTGGGCTGCACTGTGCTCACAGCTGAGTGGGCTCAGGCTTCAGCTGGCATTAGGGCTCCGCCTGGGGTCACAGTTGGTGGGACTGAGGCTCAGCCCTGAGCCCCGCTGAGCCAACCCTGGCCCACAGATCCAGTACAATGGGCTCACGCTGGATGTGGACGGCCGCACCACCAAGAAGCTCATCACGCACCTCAAGCCCAACACCTTCTACAACTTCGTGCTGACCAACCGCGGCAGCAGCCTGGGCGGCCTCCAGCAGACAGTCACCGCCTGGACTGCCTTCAACCTGCTCAGCTCCAAGCCCAGCGTGACCCCCAAGCCTGACTCTGACGGCTTCATTGTGGTGTATCTGCCCGATGGCCAGAGCCCCGTGCCTGTCCAGTACGTTCAGCCCACCCCAGGGATTTTGCACACCACCATTAGCCAGCTGTGTGACTGGGGCTAGCCGCTTGACCTCTCTGTGCCTCAGTTTTCCCACCTGTGAAATAGAGATCACAACCTATCTCGAGTAGTTGCCCTGAAGATCCAGTGCTGCTCTTAGGTGTCATCGCTAAATGTGGCCTTATGTCTGCTCCTCCAGCATTCCTTGACACTCCCATGTGCCTGACCTTCTACTGGTTCTGGGTTCCCAGACTGTTGAAGAGACAGCTGGAAACAGACACTCTCAGCTCCAATGGTGTGGCAGTGAGAGGCACCAGAGTCACTAGTGAGAGAGGAAGACTCTGGGAAGCAGAGAAAATCAAGGGTTACAAGAATGTGTGGGCATGGGAGCTGGGGCTTTGAAGGATGTATAAGAGTTTGAGAACTATACATTTGACCCTTGAACTGCATGGATCCACTTATATTCAGATTTTTTTCAACAAATACTTGATCCATGGTTGGTTGAATCCACAAATGGAGGACCACAGACACAGAGGGCCAACTGTACTTACACATGGATTTACGACTGCATAGAGGGTCAGCACCCCTGACCCCTGTGTTATTGGGGAGGAGGGTGTAGCTCAGTGGTAGAGTGCATGCCCCTGCACTAGGTCCTGGGCTCAATCCCAACTACTTCCACTAAAAGTAAACAAACCTAATTCCACCCATCCCCAACAAAAAAACCAACAACAAACTTCTATGTATGTTGAATAGTCAACTGGAATTGCACAGGGTAAGCTTTCTAGGCAAAAAGTATAGAATAATCAAAAGCCTGGAGGTTTGAATCAGGAACTATAGGTGTATGTTATTGGGGCCGTCTACTCACTGAGCAGAGGGGAAGATCTCGAGGGGGTGGCTCCCCAACTCAGCCCCAGATAGCATCCCTTTTTCATGCCTGTAGACAGCCTCCCATGACTTTAATCTTTTGATAGGAACTACTTCATTGTAATGGTGCCACTACGTAAGTCTCGTGGCGGCCAGTTCCTGACCCCGCTGGGCAGCCCAGAGGATATGGACCTGGAGGAGGTAAGGGTCTGGGGCCCAACCACTGCACATGTCCCAGCTTTTGTGAGCCCAGCTGCTCCCAGCCAGGTGCTGAGCAGCCCACACACCTCTGTTCCCACAGCTGATCCAGGACATTGCACGGCTGCAACGGCGCAGCCTGCGGCACTCCCGCCAGCTGGAGGTGCCCCGGCCCTATATCGCGGCTCGCTTCTCAGTGTTGCCACCCACCTTCCATCCCGGCGACCAGAAGCAGTATGGTGGCTTTGACAACAGGGGCCTGGAGCCTGGCCACCGATATGTTCTCTTTGTGCTCGCCGTGCTGCAGAAGAGTGAGCCTGTAAGTCCCAAATGGCATCTGCCCACATCCAGCCACACCCGCCGAGTGAGGCAGGCCCCAGAGTGGCCTCGGTCTGCAGGGCCCTGACCTCACAGCCAGACACAGATCCTCCCAGCTCCCTGTGGTCAGAGCTGGCAGAGGGAAGGACTTGGGGTTGAGGGAATCCCAAGGGGAAGACTTTTGAGAGGAAAGGACTTTGGAACTGGGCTTTGACAGGTGTGCACGAGTTTAGTAAAGAAAAAGCACCCCAGCTTTTGCATGTGCAAAGGCCTAAAGGTGCAGGAGGAACAGAAAGAATTTCAGAGTGGTTGGAACAGAGTGGGGAATAGGGAGAGAGAAGGTTAGCAAGGGCCAGGCCTCGCAGGCACTGGGTTCTCGGGAGCCATCAGAGGGTTTAGAGTAGGGATGGACATAGACTTCTATCTGAGGAAGAGCCATCTGGCCACCGTGAGGAGGATGGGCACTGACGGAGGTCCCCCCATCCCCTTCCTGCAGACATTTGCGGCCAGCCCCTTTTCAGACCCCTTCCAGCTGGATAACCCAGACCCCCAGCCCATTGTGGACGGCGAGGAGGGGCTCATCTGGGTGATCGGGCCCGTGCTGGCGGTGGTCTTCATCATCTGCATCGTGATTGCCATCTTGCTCTACAAGAAGTGAGCCCCCTGCACTCCCCTACTTGACAGGAGGGAGGGCTTCCTAGAAGAGGCGGGGGAAGACCCAAGGAAGGGTCGTCTCAGGAGATTATCACAGAACCCTTCTATGGTACAGACAGGGAAAGCAGGGCTCAGAGAGGTTAAGCGACTTTATCAAAGTCACACAGCCTGGAAAATGGCAGGGTGGGGTTCCAGCCTGGCCAGTGATTTGACCCCATTAAGCCCCACTCTCCACTCAGCAGGAAGATTTGGGGTGGAGGCTGCCTCTGTCTGGACGGTAATTGTCGTCGCCATGCTTAACACTTCCTAGCTTAGAAGGGGAGGGCTGAGACATTACTCTGTGCGGGAGACCCAGGCCCGGAGGATTAGCCCCATTTTCTGGAGCAGGCCAAGGCTCAGAGAGGGCAAGAAAGCCGCCTAGTCACACAGCAGACCATTTATGGCCAGCACACCCTCACCGGTCTTCTTTTTCCCTCTTCTTTACCTGTATCTGCTTTCGGGAGCAGTAAGCCTGACAGGTGAGAACCAGTCCTCCCCTTTAGAGGTCGGGGAGGGGGACTGGGGTGGCACTGCGCCCACAGGGTGACGGGGCACCTGGCTGCTCCAGCCGTCACCCACGTGTCTATGCATGGTCCTGGGACCGACCCCGTAATCGCATGTGCACAGGGTCCCTTTCCTGCCAGCCGGGTCACACGAGCGTGGCGCCTGTGCGTGTTCACACACGTGCCCGTGTGTCTTTGGGCACGCCCTGGAACTCACTGACTTCTGCTTACTCCCATGAAGTAAACGCAAGGACTCAGAGCCCCGCACCAAATGCCTACTGAACAATGCCGACCTCGCCCCCCACCACCCCAAGGACCCTGTGGAAATGAGACGCATTAACTTCCAGACACCAGGTATGTGCTTACCCCAGCTGCCAGGGACCTCAGCGACGCGGGGAGAGGAAGCTTGCACCCCGGTGGATCTCCATCTACCTCCACCGAACGTGCCTGGTGCAGCTAAACTCCTGATCCCCAGATTCCAACGTGGATCTGGGCTTGGAACTGCCATGGGCTGGTTCTGCTTACATCCAAGGGAGGCTTTTGAAAAGTTGCATTTACCTGGTGGTTGCTGTCTTGTCTGGGAGCTTAAAGGACATCTGAAAACAAAGAAATTTTCTATTTCATTTCTTCTGGCAGAAAGAACTCTGCTGCTCACACTTGAGCCTTACGGCCACTTGGTGGTGGGTGTGAGGGTTCTGCCCGCACTGCCCGGGATGAGCCCCTGGCAAGGCACAGAAACCCGCCTCCACCACGCCTTGCCCCTCTCCCCTCCGTGGCCACCGATGCTCATGGTCTCCCTGCCACTTCAGAGTTCACTGTAGATTGACAGGATTCAGCAATTCACCTGCCATACCTGGTAGGAGAACTGAACTGGGGTCTTGCCCTGAAGCATCTTCACGTACAGTGACCCACACGTCACCCCCGTCTCCTCCCGCTTAACGGGCTCAGGCCAGCTGCTTCTGACCAACAAGGAACTTTCCATTTAACTCATGGCTGCCGTCCTCCATGTGAACTCCCAGCATAGTAACATCTGTCTCTCTACGCCTCAGTCTCCACTTTCTGTCTCTGAATTGGTTCTTGTTAACTCTGTTTCCAACCAAGTGGAGATTTTGAACATTTGTTTAACTGATGCCTGCAGCCCTCCTGCAGGGCTCATGCATAGCCTAACATGCTGTTCCTAATACGTTTCTTTCTCTTTTCTGTTGCTGGACTGTCTCGTGTTCGCTCTGTTTCATTCTAAAGAGAATTTCAATCATTTCTATTTAACTGGTGGCTGCAGTTCTCCGTAAGAGCTCATCAAAGTTCTCATTGGCACCCCTGACATACTCCCTTCTCTCTTCTGTTTCTGGACTAGCTTAGGTCCATTCTGTTTCCACCCAAATGAGAATTTTAAACGTGTATGTCTAACTGATGGCCGCTGTCCTCCGTAAAGCTCATGGCATGGGCCCATACGTCCTTCCGCTGCCCTCAAGCTTCTCCCTCACCACCCTGCATCTGTTCCAAAATCCCCTCTGCTGACCCCAACAGGGGACCCAAGTCCAGGTCGGTCTGTGGGGACATACTGATAGAAGAACTTGAAGCTTTGGTATCTTTCCAAAGTCACAGCTGAGAATCAGGACTGGCTGATGTCCAGTCACAGGGACACACTGCAGCTGCAGCAGGCTCCCTGGCTGGGGCCGGGGCAGCCGTGTGTCCCTCAGTGCTGAAGTCGCTCTGCCCTCTGCGTCTGTCCGCCGGCCGCTGTGCGTGCACCCAGCGAGGGGCGTGGGGAGGTGGGCTCCCCGCCTGTTCTCATTTATTTATTGTTTGCTGTTTCTGCAGATTCAGGCCTCAGCAGCCCCCTCAGGGAGCCGGGGCTTCACTTTGAAAGTTAGTTCCTGTGTCTCTGTTCTCGGCTTCCTTTCGCCCGTTTGTTTTCACCCGTGGTTTCACCATCCCGCCTCCTCTCTCTGCCCACCTGTCCTGCACTGGCTTCTCGAGGGGGGCAGGGGTCTGGTCCGCGGGGCCCTTAGGGCGCGGGTTGTGACTGCGTGTGGAGCAGAGGGGAGGGCTGGGGTCAGGAATGTAGGCGAGACGTGTCCGCACATGAGAGCGGGAGCCCACCCACTGGTCAGACGGACACCAGCCTCAGGCCCCTTAAATGTAGGCCCTCAGGGAGCCCCCAGGGTGGCAGGGACTCAGAACAGCAGCACTTTACCAGTCAATTCTGCAAATCGTGTGTTGGCTTAACACTGGTACTCCGGTGTCGGCGTGGGGCCATCACTGTAGCTGCTGAGTGAGTGGGTGAGCGCATGCCTGGCTGCCTGGCTGCCCGGCCCCAGGAGAGGAAGGGGTCTGGCAGGCCCGGATATCGGGCGGAAAGAGCCAGGACCACCCCACTACTTCCAGCCACCCACCTGGGGGCTCCGAAGATAAGGGACATCACTGCTATTTATCAGATGAGAAAATGAACCCTCCAAGGTCAGGAGCTCATGCACCTGGGGCAGGTGCATGGACAGATGGGGAAACCTCCAACCATCCAACACACACACACCCTGTGTCTCCCCTCCCAATCCTTCAGCCCCACCTAGCAGAGGACTTTCCAGTCCCTCTGGTCCCAGAGGGGTGGAAAGGAGTATCAGCCTCCGGCCCCCACCCCGGGAACGTATTTCTGAAGGCCCAGCCAGCTGCATCTGCTTCTTCATTTCTGTGTCACCTGCCTGCTTCTTGCCACGAGGCACTAGGAGCTTGAAGTCCTGCAGGGCGACCCTTTCCCAGCCCCTGCGTCCCCAACTGGTGGAGGGGGACTGGGGAGGGGAAGCCCTGGGAGCAGGGCTCAGCCAGGGGCTGCAGCCCCTATGCTGCTCCTCCAGACCCACAGGCCTGGGGTCCCCGCCCCCTGCCACTCCCTCTAACCACGGCTCGTCCATCGCAGACTCACACTGTAGAGCACCCCTCATCCCCTGGCCCCAGGGCTGGCCCCCGAGTGACCGGCCGCCGTCGGGTCTGCTCTGCCCGCAGGCATGCTCAGCCACCCACCCATCCCCATCGCGGACATGGCGGAGCACACGGAACGCCTCAAGGCCAACGACAGCCTCAAGCTCTCCCAGGAGTATGAGGTGAGCTGTTCCCCCCCACCCTCCTGAGCCTGCAGAAGCCCCATCTTGACACCCTCCACCTCCCCTTGCCCGCAGTCCATCGACCCGGGCCAGCAGTTCACGTGGGAACACTCCAACCTGGAGGTGAACAAGCCCAAGAACCGCTACGCCAACGTCATCGCCTACGACCACTCTCGCGTCATCCTCCAGCCCATCGAAGGTAGCGCGCAGGGCCCAGCCTCCATCCCGCCCTTCCTCATTCCACAGAGAGCTCGTAGACCCCAGGCCGCCTCTTGGCCACAGGGCGAGGCCAGAGTGGACTGGCTCGGGGGCTGGTGGGGAAACAGGCCTGAGTCTGGTCACAGGCCTGGCCAGCTCCGGCCAGCAGCCACCAGGAGTTTTTAGATATGTATTTAACTGATGGCCGCTGTCCATTCCATTTTTCTATCTGTTCCTGTACATCAGTGGTTCTCAGAGTAATTCCACCAGTTGGGACATTTGATAGTGTCTGATAACATTTTTATTGCTACAACTTGGAAGAAGGGGTGGGGTGTTCGTGAGAGGGTAGAGGCCAAGGATGCAGCTCAATACCCTACAGTGGACAGGATGGTCCCCATAGGTCACAGAACGCTCTGGCCTCCAGTGGCAGTAGTGCTAAGGGGGAGAAACCATGAAGCATACACTCCACGATACCCTTGGGGACAGATTGGAGCAGTCCAGGAGGGCTTCCAGGAAGTGGTGGGCCTGGTGGAACCAGCCCAGGAGGACAGAGTGCCCCCAGTGATCTCTGGCCTCTCACCCCGGCCGCAGGCATCGTGGGCAGCGATTACATCAACGCCAACTACGTGGATGGCTACCGGCGGCAGAACGCCTACATCGCCACACAGGGGCCGTTGCCCGAGACCTTCGGTGACTTCTGGCGTATGGTGTGGGAGCAGCGCTCCGCTACCATTGTCATGATGACACGGCTAGAGGAGAAATCACGGGTGAGGCCTGGACCCTGTAGCCCCCAAGCCCCTGGCCAGCCCCGTGCCCACGCTCACGTCCGTTCTCTCGCCCGGTCCAGATCAAATGTGATCAGTACTGGCCCAACAGGGGCACGGAGACCTACGGCTTCATCCAGGTCACGCTGCTGGACACCATCGAGCTGGCCACGTTCTGTGTGCGGACCTTCTCCCTGCACAAGGTAGGGCCCCAGGTGCGGACTGGGGGCTGCGGGAGGGGTGATGGGGGTGGAGGAGGAAGACGAGGACCCCAGCTTCTGCCCTGGGAGCTCCCCTTGGGTTAGAAAAAACCAAACATGTTGACCCAGGCTGACCACATTGTCCTGTGGCCCGCGTCATGGAAGGGGACAGTGAGACTCGGATGGAGCAGCTCTTGTCTCCAGACCAGCGGTAGGACAAACCAGCGGAGTCCAATTTAGCAATGAATCTGTTGTCCCTTTGCCACTAGTCACCCCCCAGGGCTTTGCCCTCTGGCCTCACCCAGCCTAGGCTTGTGACCTCAGCCATGCCCTCAAGGGGCCTCCAGCCTTGGATGGAAGACGGTGGGCAGTCGGGGCTGGGGCCGAGGGACTCTTCTGAGACGTATTTAACTGATGGCTGCTATCCATAACACGGTGCCAGCGGTGGTTCTCAGTTGGGGCATTTGCCATCCAGGGGACGTCTGGTAATGTCTGGGGATACTTTTTATTGTCATGATGGGGAGGGGAGGTGCTCCTGGCACCACCATGTTCTCCTGACAGCCAGCCAGGTCCTGTCTCAACATTAAGCACACAGCTGGCTCGGGTGCCAGAAAACGGAGCAGATGGATAAGAGGGAGCAAGAGTTTTCAGTTCATTCACATACTAAGCGCACACTGTGTGTCAGACCCTGACATGGGCGCCAGGACACAGCAGGGACCAAGGCAGATAAAACGCCTCGACTCTTGTGAGGCTTATAGCCTCGTAACAGACAAGACGCGGTCAGCGCACGCGTGAAGCGACAGGAAACCTGATGCATAAAAGTAAAACAGAAGAGTAGGGTATGTAGTGGGGGACCTGGAGTTAGTGAGGATGGGAGCTATGAGATCTGGGGGAGCAGCATTCCAGGCGGAGGGCACAGCCTGTGCAAAGGCCCTGGGGCAGGACTGTACCTGGGGTGTTTTCGTAATAGTGAGGAGTCCTGTGTGGCTAGAGCTGAGTGAGAGAGAGCGTAGAAGGTAAGGGCAGGGAGGGGCAGGGGCAGATGGTGCAGGACCTTGCGGGCTGCAGGGGAGACTTGGGCTTTCACCCCAGGGAGGACTGTGGGCAGAGGAGGGGCAGGGCCTGGCTCCGGTGCTCACTGGTGCCCTCTGGGTGCTGTGAGGGGAATAGACTTTTGGGGGAGGAAGGGCGCCTGGGGACCAGGGTGGAGGTGGCTGCTCTCGTCTGGATGGGTGATGATGGGGCTGGACCCGCGTGGTCACCATCGAAGGAGTGAGTGAGAAATGGGCTTCGGATAGACTTTGAAGGCAGAGCTGAGGGTCCCTGTTGATGTGTTGGATGTGGGAGGGTGGGGGAGGGGAGTCAAGGTGACTCCTAAATTCTGGCAAGTGCCTGGAAGGACATAGCTGCCGTCAGCTGAGATGGGTGTGATGGGTTCAGGAGAAAGTGGGGGCAGTGCTGGCTGCCCGGAGTGTGAGATGCCTCACAGGAGGAGACACCCCCCTGTCCAGGGGCAGCCAGACATCCAAGTCAGGCACCCAGGGCCGTGTTGGTCTAGAGATTTGAACTTGGGCCCCTGCACGTGGGCGGTGGGCTGCGGTGACAGGCAGTGTCCCTGTGGTCCCCAGAACGGCTCCAGCGAGAAACGTGAGGTCCGCCAGTTCCAGTTCACGGCGTGGCCGGACCACGGGGTGCCCGAGTACCCGACGCCATTCCTGGCTTTCCTGCGGAGAGTCAAGACCTGCAACCCGCCGGACGCTGGCCCCA